TGTTTGTGTGTGAAGTGTGAGCGGGGAAGCAGGCAGCAGTGCCAGCCCTGCAGGAAGTGGAGCTGCTCTCCGGCTGGTGCCTGCTCCTGGAAAGGGATGGGGCTGCAGGTTACCGATCCTGTCTGATTCATCTGGAGTGGTAGTTCCTGCTCACGTTAGACTCTAGGCACCCCTTGGAAAATGCCAGCTTTCACTTGTTTGATTATGGGCATACACAATACAGCAATTCTTCTGTTGCAAAGAACTCCGACTGCACTGTTTTCCAGTGCTCTGGTTCCCCATGTGAAATCCCTGGGTGTACCTTGTTTGCACACCAAACAGTGCTAACCTTGTGGGGCACCCTGCAGCACCCTTGAAAGGATTTCAAGGCAGCACCTTGGTTGAGACTCCATGCCCTGGCTGAGGTCTCCTCCCTGCCCCACGCCCTCCTCAGTGGCAGGACAAGGTGTAAGAAGAGCATGATTGCCCTGCCCTGCCTTGCCCTGCCCTGCCCTGCCTTACTGCTAAGGCGTGAATCCAAATAGCAGAGGAAAGCTCTTTCTGTCTGGGAGTAAGCTTTCCAATAAGTAAAAATGACTTTTTTGCTTTTATCACCTTCTCCTACAAACTAACCCCCCCCCCCCTGAAATCCGAAGCCCCTTCTGGGCTAACACCAAAATTAGCACTTCTGTTGGCAAACCTGCTTTGTTAATATTAGCATTCCATTTTATTTCATTTTTATTTTTCTGAGCCAGGAACGTGAGGAGTGACTTACTGACAGTACTGGTTGGAGAATGGCCTTGTGAGCAAGTGCTTCTTTTTGTTAATCTCGCACTTCCATGTTAATGGCTCTGTAAATATGTACACTTAGTTTCTGACCAAAAAGGAACAACCTTGCCTAGTCCCAAGGGAGGTAGGTTCTGACTTGTGGTCAGGCTTCTGTTATCCCAACTGGAAAATTGAAGTAAAATTAGTACTCACTTGTTACGAGTGATCCCAAGCTCTTTCTTTAAAGAAAAAGGATTGTTCCAGAAGTTTTTTGGGGTACTAGAATAGTTTTTAAACTTAGTTAGTTTTGTTCTGCCCCCACCCTCCTCGCAGTTGTGCTGGCTGGAAGTCACTCCTTTTGAGACTCCCTCAGTGCTTTGTTGAAGTGGAAGAGTGGGTTCAAGCCCATTCCTAATGGGAGAGGTGTCCACTCTACACAAGTTTCCTTCATAGGTTGGCCCTTATCAGTCCCTTTATGATAGATTTGTTGCCAAGGCAAGGGGAGTCACCCGTAGAAATGGGTTCCTCTTTGGTGCAAGTGGAGGTACCCCCTGTTGATAATTACAGCTTCCCCAGACAATGAGATGTATTGGTTATGCCTGTAGATATTCAGGGCCAGATATAAGCAAAGACTTTGGACTTGGGTAGACTTTAAGAAACTAAGATCCTAATTTAGTGGCTACTTTAACCATAGCAAGTGTGTGTTTGTGTGTTTTTTAATGCTTCTTATTAGGCCTGAAAGTTCCTCTAGCTGTCTGCAGCTGCACTTTCTCTGGTCAGAGCAGCTAGGCATTAGTTTTCTCTAAGCCCCAGGCTTTGCAGAAACTTGGAAGAGAGGTGTTTGAAGTCTCCTGAGGGGCTCCATTCAGTAGGTGTGTTCAGGGCATGTCTAAAGTCTGGGGACTGGATCAGTTACTTGCAAAATGCCATTGTGGCTGCCTCTTTAAATCCTTTTTTGAGTTCAGCTGAAAGGTGGGGAGGTGGCTGCTGTTGTGTTCCCTGTTCATTTAATAGCCTAGTGGAGAAAGGTGTATGCTCCATACAGTAGGGTTCAAAATGGTATCCCTGTAGGAGACTGTCTTAAGCAGATGGTTGTGGAATAGTTTGGCAGGCCCGGAAGGATCTTCTTAAGAGGGAGACGGCAGCTAGATCTTAGGGGTTAAGGTAAGGTGCGGGGGAGCCTGGATTCTGGTTTTGGCTCCTGTCACCATTTATTTGTCCCTTCTATTGACCCATCACTGCTTAGGAAGCAGGGACTGGGACTCTGGTCTCCCTGTACCAAGTAAGTGTGCAGCTTAGTTAAGTCCCTAGTTAAGGGATTTGGTCAGATTAATTCCTTGTTCTATTTGTTTTTCTGTGGAACAGGTATATTTAGCTAAACATTAGTGAAATGCATTACTTATGGGTGATTGTTAGTTTTAAAATAACAAAATTCAAGATAAACATTACTACTTTAATAAGCTATCTGTATATTACCTATATGGAAGGGAATACTTTTCTGTGTTAAGGTAGCAGGTCAAATAACACTTTAAAAAAAACAAACAAACCAATGCTACACTCTGCCACATCTTTGGAAAGATTTTTCCTACTTCTAAAGTGTTATTGCCACCCAAAATCCAAAGCTATAGCTTGGTGTTTTACTTAAATACTACATAAGATCAGTCCATTTCCTTCTGGTATTGTTGGGAACACCCAGAAGTCCTGGGTGGGGGCTGTATGGCTGGGAGGAGAGGATGGGTTGAAACGCCCACAGATCTGAGAGGAGATGCTGCAGCAAGGCCTGGCAAGCTTGTTTGATTGAGGGAGTGTATGTATCATGCTGCAGGAGCTAGTGAAACCTGTTAATCCAAGATGGAGCAGTAGGGTCTTGCAAGATAATAAGCAAGGCCTGTGACCAGAATGGTGGTTGGAGCAAAACGTTTTGCACCAAGAGTGGTCTGGCTTTAGAGCTAAATATCAGGTTCAGTTCTTGGTAAATGGTGAGCCCTTGGAAAATGCCACAAAACAAGAGGCTAGAAAGTAGTTAGTCAGGAAAAGACCTATGAGGTTACATCTTGAATAGATGGTGCAGAACAGGGCTTTCTCTGGCCTTTTGCCTGATCCACTTTTAGCTTGGAGCTTCTGTCACTTTGTCTAGCGAGATTATTCCAGGCAAGTCTGATGGCTTTTGTTGTTGAGGAAAGACGTTCTCATATTTTAGCTGGGAACTCTATCCCTCTCACTTTGCTCCTGTTAACCACCTTATTCCTATTCCACTGATTTCTCCCCTGCCTGTGGATGTGATTATACCCATTCTTTTCTTCTCTTTTCTTCTCACTTCCGTCCGGTTTTTGGAAAGCAGAAAGAAGATGGCATTGGTGAAATGCAGGGTTTCTAACCAGCTGACCTGGGAGAGTCACCTTTGCCTGTACGTTATCCAGCTACTAAATGGCAAACATGGTAGTAGAGAGAGGAAAAAAGTGACACACTCTTAATGAGTGTGCATCTTGCTACAGCCTACAGATCACACATGGGGAAAGGAGCAATAGGTAGTGACTGTACTATCAGATAAGGGGCACTTTCCAGCCTGTTGAATGGGATAGGAAAGTAGTAGATTTGGCTTCCATCCTTGGCTCTGATGACTTGCTGCGTGACTTCGTAAATCGTGCTGTCTATTCCCCAGCTGTAAGATGGGGATATTCATTTGCCCTCTTTGGTAGAATAATTGAACAGGAGGTAGAAAAAACAACATATGTAAGTATTATAAGGGAGGCTCTTCCTGAGTGTAATGGTTGCTCTAAGCTTATGTTGGCCCAGGTTGCTAAGTATCTGTATAAAGTGATGGTAAAATGGGTCATGTGCAGAAAGCTGCTTGAGGTTTGTTCTAGAAGTTGACTTCTTGTGTGTGTTCATTTTATTTTTCAGCTACTAAAGTTCTTGGCACTGTCAAGTGGTTCAATGTCAGAAACGGATATGGATTTATCAACAGGTTTGTTGATCACTTATTTGTACATCTCCAAAAATGTGTTGGTGCCTCTGCCTTCCCTGTTGCGCACCTTCATCTCCCATCAACTCTAGCAGTGGAGGAACCTCAAAAGGTGTGAGTGCTGTGGCGAGTTACTGGGGTGTAGTTTGTAGCCGTGTTGGTCCAAGGACATAGGCAGACAAGGTTCTTTGGGTGAATCTGATCTCTTTTATTATTATTTAAGTTGGTTTAATAAAAGAGATCAGATTCACCCAAAGAACCTTGTCTGTCTGTGGCGAGTTACCTAAATGAAACTAAAAAAATTGTTTAGTGGGGCTACTTCTTCAGCCTGTAAAGCCTGTTTTGGAACCTCATGGGGACAGGGGTTTTCTGAATCGCTTGGTATTTCTTATTCCCTCCTGGGTTTGAAATAACACAAGTTCAGCCTCCACTGCAGTATTTCTGTTTTAACACCTTCATACTTGGCAAGATTTTGGAGTAGAAAGCAGAGATGATGGATGTATGTGGGAGGAATCTACCAAACCTTTTCAAACTTTTGAAGGTGTAGGGGGTGGATAAGAGGGGGGCAAAAGAGCTTTGTAGACTTGAATCTTTAGACATTAAAAACCTGTTTACTAAAGCTTCATTGATTTGATTTTCACCCCCCCCCCATTTCTACTAAAATTCTCATCAATATGTTTAAGTGGAGATGGTCACAGAACTGAACATAGAAAATGGGTCCTGGGAACCTGCCTACTCACCTCTGTCCTGAGCTAGGCCATTCCAGCCCTTGACCTGGAAAGGTTGCCAACTGCTGTTCCAGATAACTTCAAGCTCACATGTCAGTAGCTAAAAGCTAAGAATATATGGGTTCCTTGTGAAGGCCCTCTGTATCTTGCTGTTTCTTTGGTGTGTGTAATTTAAAAAAAAAAAAAAATTTTATGCTCTATAATGTGGTTTTGAAAGATGTGCTTTCTGATGCAAAGGTTTAAAAATAGTAACCTTCTCCCATCACAGCAGTTTATGGTCAATGGGATTAGTTCAGGGACACTAGAGAATGGGATACAAAGTCTCCCATTTGGAAACAGTATTACATTGCAGTGGACTGGATTGCTAGGGGGAATTTGTTCCATATCCTGTTCCCTTTTACTTGTAAGTCATTTATCTGAAGTTCAGCCCCAGGTCAACAGGGGTTGGCTGACTTGCAAAGAATAATTTGAATCATGGGAATAATTGATATATGTGGATACAGAGCCTTCTGTTTTTTAAGCACAACTTCCAGTCTTCTGCGGAACTGGGAGACTAATGGTTTAGAGACAGATGATAACCTAAAGATGAAAGACTTAATATTTTCCCTGTAGTTCTTGAGGTGGTGAATATCCTGCTATGCTGTTTTAGCAAAGTCATCTTTTGCTCCATCTTAGTCCAGTGGGACAAACATCTACATGCAGTCATCAGAATTTTCACCATTTAATTTTTTTCTCCCCCTTCCTTCATGTTCACCACTTCTGCCCCATCTTGAACTGGTTTGCATAGGCATGTCAAATATTGAATAAATAAAGGAGGCTTGACTCTTAGGTTCCCAAAGAACAAAGGGAACTTGAGCCAGGAGTTGTCCTTGTTCAGGGTTGTTTTTTTTTTTTTAGGGTTTTTTAGTTTTTTGGGGGTTTTTTTAGGTTTTTTTGGTTGACAGTAGCCATTGCTAAGTTACCTAAAAGAGCATCTAAGAAAGCTATAGTGAACAACTACAGAATAATCCATTCATAAGGGACCTTCTGATACCTGTTAGTTCTTGGCTCACACTCTCTGAAGTGTAACAATTTTAAGGAGAAACATTTTGGGGAGAAGGGGGCAAGGTCGTTTGGACCCCTTGACTGTCAAAATGAGGTCTGTTACCCTTGCACCTTTTCACATGCAAGCATTGGTGTAAGTGAAATAGAAGGGTTGGCCTTTAGTGGTGTTGGGGGCGGGTCCAGCTTCAGTCTGAGTGCATCTGTTAGATACAAAGTGAGTGCTCAATCTGACGAAGGTAGATCAGTTGCATGCAAAATCCTGCAGTGGCTAGAAGATCGTCTAGACTGTCCTAATAAATTTATTCTGTCTTTCATGTCTGGCTCTTCCCCCTATCTGTGAGCATTCCTAATCCCTCCTATCCTAGGTTGTTTTGGGTTTCAGTGAAAGGAGAGCCCTCAACAGCTGTGCGAAGTCCTGTTGAGTCTTGCTTGACCTCTGGGACAACGTGTTAGGAGCTCAGGTTGCAGGCCACGGTGGGGTGGGGTGGGGAAGAGGGGATCGGAGGAAGGAGAATTAAATAGACTGGCTGCCTATGTTAAACTAAACCCTGGATATTTGCCCATGGATTAAAGGGGGTCCCTGGGGAAGGTGGAAAATCCCTTGCTGGCAGGGAAATGCTACAAAGGGAATTTGCAGCTGGGTCTGTCTGGAGGGATGGCGTAGGCTTATACTGCACATGGGATCCTGGTGGTATGTTCCCATTGGAGTCTCTTAGATGGCTGTTCCCAGGCTCTGCTCCTTGATTAAGTGGAGGATGGGAGGGGTTGATTGGGTGAACCCCAGGGACCCTGCTATAAAATGACAGACTTAAGAAGTAGTTTTATGATGACATTTTTCTCTCTCTTCACACTTTCCACAGAAATGATACCAAAGAGGATGTGTTTGTTCATCAGGTGAGTGAGACAACTGACTGTACAAAAACGCATGTTTATGTCCTGGTTGTACCCAGAATCTCCACATGGGCCCATATCTGTCTGAGCCAACTGTCTATAAGGCTGTCAGATGGGCCATTCAAACTGCCCATACCTGTCCTTGTTCATCCTGAAGAGAGTCTTCTGCAGTACACCTAGGTCCATATTCTTGATCAGTGGCACGCTCAGACTCTGGGTGCAGTATGTGGCAGATTTGGGGAGGGAGCAGGAAGTATAGCAGCAGATGGGACAAGAAACGGCAGGCAAAGTATCACAAGGGGTTAATTTATGAGCACCCCCCCCCTCCCCCCCAAGGCTTCCACCTGGCTAGCACACCCTGCAGTGCTGAGTGTGAGGCTGGGTGTGATGCCCATGCAGCAGCAACAACTGTAGGCATCCCCACTGATGTGGCCCATGTGGTGTGCTGCCCCTGTCACTTAGAAGCTGGAGAGCCCTGCTCTGGATGCTTGAGGGGCTGACCTGCACTGAGGTCTGTTACCTTCCTCTGTATAATGACTACAGATGCTGTCTCTCTCTTGCTTCCTTCTGTTTCTTGTCCACTGTCCTTTTAGAAAGGGGAGAAAAGCTTCTTCTGCAGCAGGGTAAATGCTCGGTTTGCAGAGGGACTAGTTTGTTTGGTTCAAAGTAAAATGAAATGGAAACTCTGTGCCCCCTCCTTTCTGCACTAGTTCCCTTTTCTCACATACTCTCTCCTTGTTCTTCCATTGGCCCTGCTGACTTTCTGCCTTCCTGCCTGCCTTGCTGTTTGTTGAGAGAAAATGATCCAGTCTGGCTTCTGCCCAGCTTGCCTGCTATCGGCTATTGCTACATGAGACGGCTACAGTTGGGAACAAGGGGGGGCAATGCAGCAGGTGCAACTGGGCAAGGGGTGGTCACCAAGTAGACTGCTGGGACACATGGTGCTCAAGCCCATCAGCAGGTTGCCATTTCTCAAGTGTCTCCCCATGACTTGAGACTCTTGTTCTCCAGTCAGTGAAAGTGGGAGTTGAGGAAGCTGTTTCTGCCACTGTAACATGAAAGCCAGCTAACATCTGAATTTGGCATGTTTATCAAAATAGTCTGTGCTGCCCCTATTATGGGAAGCATGGTTGAGATCTGCAGGTGTTCAAATGTCCCCTCAAGAGTTAGCTTCTGGAGTAGAGCCTGGGGCCTTATGCAGTAAAAGCAGAGGTGCCTGTAACCAGGAGTCTCTTACCCTCTGTGCAAGCTAGCTGTGAGAGAGAGAGAGAGAGAGTCAGCATGTTAGACAATGGAGGTGTCCATGCATATATAATTTGGTGCCCATGGTGACATGACTCCATGATAACCTGATGCGACTGTTCTCTGGGCAAGGGCAATTGGAATTAGTATCAGAATTCTCTGGTGGTATTAATAGGGTGTGGGGAGACCTTTAAACTCCTGTGTTTACTATGAGCACCACAGCTATCTTGTGCACTGCTTGTTCATAATGCATTAGTTTGGGGCAGATACTCAATGCGATCCTGTCCCTCCTCAGCTTCTGCCTCCTCCCCAGCTGCGGTTGATAGCTGACTAACAGCAGCAAGCTAATGGATAAACAATGAAAAAATAGATGGGAAAGGTAATGGCAGTAAGTCATCTACCTTGTCATTGAGGATCCTCTTGTAGGTGTCATGGTAGGGAAATTGATTTTAAGGAGGACAGTATGGAGGCCTTGGAAGGTACTTGCAGTGGCTTGAGGGGGAAAAAACGAGATCCTTCTCAAATGGGCTGTCAGTGGTTTCAGTATCAGCATGAGCATGAAAATCAATATCTTTGATTATCTAAAGGATGGTGGGTGAAGAGCAGGCTGCAGAGGTTCTTTAAAGGTAAAGATTTCATGAAGTTTTGTTGCAGAATGTCTATGCCTCCTTTTTACCCTTGCTATAATCTGTTTCCCCCTGCCCTTTAGGGAAGGGGGAGGCTCTAGGGCTCCTTCCCATACCTTCATGCAAACTGTGGAGCTTTTGCAGAATGAGTAATAAATTGTTTGTCCTTCCATAGCACCCTGCAAGGACAAAGTGACTGGTTGTGGCACTAGAAGACTCAACTTCCTTAGCAAGTGAAACCTAATATCTTAAATCCCAGTACACACTGGGATTAAATTGAGATACTGAACCAAATAATAATGGGACCATGGTGGCTGTCCCCTATGGGGTGTCCAAGACCAGGTGCTCCAAATGTATGCCCCTGTTCCCTTCTGGCTTTGTTCAACTATCCTATCAGGAGCCTGTACCGGATGGTGTCTGAAGGCTTGGGCACTGTCTGACAGTGTCAGTCTGTGGAGTGGTGATCTGACTTCAGTAGTCTGGTTTCTCTTCATATAAGGGTTCCCACCCAAACACTAAGCAAGTTGGACCCTGTTGAATTTATAAAAGGTAGGCAAGAGTGCTGCTCCCCTCCAGGCAGTACAGTGACTCAGCTGGGCAAATTGGGGCCTGCCGAAATGAGCAGAAGGGAACTTTTGGGTAGGGAGTGGCAGTTAGAAAAGCAAATCAATCATGTATACAAACATCCTGTCCTGAACCACCCCACTCCTGGTTTGTGACTGTTGTTTGCTGCTGCTGACTCCTCCCCCTGCCTCTGTAGCTGGGAGTGTGGGGGAGGGGCTGGATTACACATCTAATCTCTTTAGAATAAGGTTGACCTAGTTGAACAGATCCTCTCTCTTTTCCCTTCCCTCACGCATGTTGGGGGGGGGGGGGAGCAGGCAGATCTCATGATCAGAAAAGGGGTTAACTCTTATGTGGCTGTTGGATGCTATTTATATTTAGAAGCATTTTAATCTGCACTCCCTCTTTAGCACATGCATGGTTGCTTCGTTCTCACTCTTCCAGCCTTGCAGAGGGTCCAGATTGTGGAATGGGGACATCTGGGCATAGAAAGAGACTTGGAAACTCCTGGTCCCTGTACCCACTCAGTGGGTAAGTGGAGGTGTGCTGTAATGCATTATTGCTTCCATTTATAATGATCCAAGCAACAATGCACTCGCATCACCATTGGGAGGTGATGGCTTTTTTCTTTAGTGGAATGCATTGCTGAAAGTGGTTTTCATCTTTCTCCTAAAACTTAACTTCAGCAGCTGCAACCTCTTCAGCATCTGTAACTTCTCTTTTTCCTTGGGATTTACTACTTTTCCTTCTGCTATTTACTTGGGCAAACTACACCTACCTTAAGTTATTAATCGTTCTTCATAAACATTCTTCCATGTGGGTCTTAACTATCTGAATAAAAGTTTATTTACTTGTGCCCCATGTTCCTGGAAAAACATTACAGATGGTATCCCAAATACTGTTCTGTGTAATGCTTATGTACTAAGATGCACGGGCATGATATTTTGACATTCCAATACGCAAAGCTCACTACCTCTGAAACATAGGGTTCCTATACACACGTAGAGAAATCTAGCACACTGGAGTAGACTCGGTTTAATTGAGTCTTCTGGAGCACAGAAATTGACACACTTCGGCAGCCTTCCATGTCACGTGTATCAACATTGCTGAAAAAATGGCAGTGGGGCGCTTTGAAATAAAACGCGTTTGAGCTTCAGTTCAAAGTGCCCCGCCGCCATTTTTTCAGTGTGAGGATGCTGATGCATGTGATATGCAGGTGCTTTTAATTGGCATAGCTCTCTAATTAAAGTGCCTGGCTCCACATCCCAGAGTGCCTGTAAAAATGCCTGTAGTTGTCTCTTGTATGCACAAAGTAACCTTACATGGCTGAATTGAAAGAGATTGCACAAAGTAATGTTTCCAAATAAACTCAATTGGCTATATTTTTGTGGGCATCCTTTCTTCCCTTCTGTTTTAAAAGGGAAACTATTTCGACTGTTCAGTACCTGGCCTAGTTTAATTTCTGTGACAGCTTCAGGAGCTGAGGCTCGGTGTGTATTCATACCTATCGTTAGCTAATATGCTGTCCTCACTAGTAGTCTGCAAATGCTGTGGGGGTGGGTGTTTGGAAAGACTTGTCCCCTCTTTCCTCAGGTTTTTAGAGGCTGCTGTCAGGAAGAATTGTGAAGTATTTCTCTATTCCCTTCCCCCTCCCATGACAGCATCTGTAGGTTCAGAGGAATCATAGATTCATAGATGTTAGGGTTGGAAAGGACCTCAATAGATCATCGAGTCCGACCCCCTGCATAGGCAGGAAAGAGGGCTGGGTCTAGATGACCCCAGCTAGATGCCTATCTAACCTCCTCTTGAAGACCCCCAGGGTAGGGGAGAGCACCACCTCCCTTGGGACCCCGTTCCAGACCCTGGCCACTCTAACTGTGAAGAAGTTCTTCCTAATGTCCAGTCTAAATCTGCTCTCTGCTAGCTTGTGGCCATTATTTCTTGTAACCCCTGGGGGCACCTTGGTGAATAAATCCAGAAAGGCAATCCAAAACCTAACTCAGTATTTGCCTTTGTAGAAGAGTCTTGAAATCTGAGGCCTCCAAATCCAATATAGCTAACTGAAAACTTGAGAATTGCAGAGCACTTGAATCTATGCAGTCAGTTTCTGCATCCTGTTGCCACAGTGTCTACGTACTTATTGAAGTTGAATAAATTCATCCTCACCATTCTCTGATGCAGGGAAACCTGGGACAGACCTTTTACAAATGGCAACTGACATGCGGATTGTTACATGGCTGAGATCACATCAGGAGCCTGGTCAGTCACAGAACACAGATCTCTGGCATCCAGCTTCAGTGCTAGTGTCACTTTTCAGCAAGACTGCAAAATGAAAAACAATGAGTTAGAGGCAAAAAGCTAATTATTCCAGCTTTTGCTCTAAATTACGTCTAGATTTGTCAGCATTATTACTTGACACTAGAGCTTTTCATTTGAAGATTTGAAAGACTTGACTAATGCTGCACTTGATTCAGCTTAATTTACAATGTGACAAAAGGTCCATTGACTTCAGTAGCTGTGGGCTTTATACCTGCTCATAAGAACTGCTTTGGTTAAACCTTTCGGTGAACGTATTGTGGACTTTGGTATTGGAACTAATCCAAAGTTCTGCATAGTTTGTTGTTTTATAGGAAATGTTTTGCACATCTCAACTGTATATTCCCATGTAGGGAACACAGAACAGGCTCTTGGAGGCAACCATATCCTAGAATCCCTCTCAAGTGGGTTCATCTCTTCAGAACTGATCAGGCTTTTTGCTCTCCCTGCTTTCCCAGTCTTTTATTGGAAGACTGACTCTAGGCTCCAGCTGCTTTAATGAATGGCAGTACTAGCCATTGGTAGATTTCAGCTAAGCTTCCATTTTGCCTGTGTCTGCGTTGTCTGCACAGAATCTAAAGATACCCCAGTATGTGTGTTATCTGTGTTTGTTTCCTTTCTGGTCTGGGAAAGCATCTTTGTCTCATCTTTGGGCCTCCTGCCTGTACCCCTTCACTGCACTTAAATTGGGATGTAAACACATTGCCCTGTATATTGTGCGTTACCCTTCATGTCCAACTGGGTTTCAGTTTCCTTGCGTTTGTCTTTGCTTTACCCCTTGTATCACTGATCCCCAAAGTGCACTTATTGAATAACTGGAAGAAAATGTTAGGATAAATTGGGTTTTAGAAATGCTTGTAAATGTACTTTTCTTCTAATCTAACTTATCGTTTCATAGTTGGTAGGGTCAGAAGGGACCTGAGCAGATCATCAAGTCTGCCCCCCTGCCATGGCAGGAAAGAGGACTGGGGTCAAACGACCCTGGCAAGGTGTTCATCTAGCCGCTTCTTAAAGCCCCCCAGGGTAGGAGCCAGCACCACTTCTCTTGGAGGTTGGTTCCAGATCCTAGCTGCCCTGACAGTGAAGTAGCGCCTCCTGATGTCTAGCCTGAATCTTACCCTCTGCTTATCTTGGATTGAAATGTAAGATAAGCTTCCCTGTTGAGTTTTAGGAACAGAAACTACCTGTTTCTCCTAGTAAGCTCAGATACATGCTCCTGTGAGTCTGAGTGGGTTCTTTTATGCTGTTCAAATTGTTCTTGGGTGCTAAGTAGGAGAGAAGGCTGGAGCAATTAAGGCTTCTTGCTCTGGTGTTTCTTAATGATCCTTCTCCTGATGACTCCTTCTTTTTTCTTTTTCTTCCCCATTGGCTCTGCCGCCTGAACAGATCCTTATGTGGCAATACCCTTTCTGCTCTGTGGTTTAAACAAATAATAAATAAAATCTCATTGTGGTGACTGATCCAGATTCAGCATTAATAATTGTCGTACCCATCACAAAAACCACTGGTCTCAGCTTTTTCTTCCCCATCTAGTCAAAAAAGGGTCATGGAGTAAGAACACGCAGTGTGGTAATTCATAGATTGTAAACCTGAAAGGGACCTTGAAGATCATTGGGTCCAGCCCCCTGCACCAAGCAGGAAAGACACTGGTATACGCATCACAAATGAGAAAGTGAAGGAATAGCCCAAACAGCTAATCGGGAGGGAAGGAAGCAGGACTTACTGAGGGAACCAGTGAAATTAGGTGCTGCTGCTTCTACCACCAACACTGCTGCCTAGCGAATACTCAACCTTGTGTAGCTGTCATACAACAGGGATGAAGAAGTTGAATAAATTCACCTTGAGCCAAATTCTTTATGCTGAGGTTAGGGAGGGTTCTACTTACTAAGTGGGGTACCCTGATGCTCTAAAAATGTATCTTGGTGTTAATGAAGATTGAGTTTGTATGTTGGTCCTCTAAGCAGTGTAGTGAAGGATATAGACCGCATGCTTTTTACAAGGTGACAGCCTCTGGTAGAGAACCTATAAGGTTAGAACCACTAATTTAATGTTAGACTCAGCTAGGACTCCAGAAATAAGAGCTCAATTCCTAGCTTTGTCACAGGCATAGTGTATCTTCAGGTGAATAGTCTACCTATTGCCTCCATTCTCTGTGTAAAATGTAGTGACTTTCTTGTTTTTTTTTTTTTTTTTTTTAATTCCCCCTTTTTTAAAAAAGCTCGCGGCTTTTTTTTTTTTTTTTTTTTTTTTTTTTTTAATGCCACCTTCTTTAAAAAGGCTCGGGGTGGCTTAAAATCAGTCACAAAATGGGTAAAATTAATTAAAAAAAAAAAAAAAAAAAAAAAATTCTTCCCTAAAATACCTAAGCTTAACTCTACCTGCTAAATCTGCCCAAATAAAAAGGTCCTACATTACTTTTGAAAGACGGCCAAGCCAGGTTAGGCCCTGGCTGGCCTTGAGGCCGAGGAAGTTCCAGAGCTGGGAAGCAATAGCTAAAATTGACTTTCCACATGTTTTGGCTAAGTGAACCTGTTGCCCAAATGGGAGTGATGCCTCCCAAGGTGTCAGGAAGGGTAAAATCTATCAGTGTTGGTGAGGAGGTGAGATGCTGGGATGATAAGCGGCTCTTTATCTGTCTGGTGGTGTGTTCTGAATAAAGCAGATGGCAAGCAGTGCATGAGATTGTGGATAAGTTGAGTACAGTGTGTCTGTTGCCTTTGCCTCTATCCAGTTCCCTTGAACCCTTCTTCAGTGCAATACTCTAGGAATATGTAACTTCTGTTGTGTTTCACCTGTGGCTTTCAACCTGGCTAATAACAGTATTTTGTGTCTTTTCTTTTTTTGTTAAGACTGCAATCAAGAAGAACAACCCACGGAAATATCTGCGCAGTGTTGGCGATGGAGAGACTGTAGAATTTGACGTGGTTGAAGGAGAGAAGGTGAGTGTTGGATAAACACATGGATGTGCACTGCTGTGGGGGTTCTCTCTTTAAATGTGGGTAAATGGCTATTTTTTTTTTTCTCCTAGTTACTTTAATAGGAGGACTGTAGATATAGATTCATAGATGTTAGGGCCGGAAGGGACCTCAATAGATCATCGAGTCCGACCCCCTGCATAG